TTATGTGTGTGTGTGTGTGTGTGTGTGTGTGTGTAGGGATATGAGTGTAAGTGGGTGTGTGTGAATATAAATGTGTTTGTGTATGTGTATTTCTGTATATATGTGTGGGTATATGGGTATGTGTGTATTTAGGTATGTGTGTATATGTGTGTTTCTGTATATATTTGCGTGTATATGGGTATGTATGTATATGTGTGTTTATGTATATATGTATGTGTATATGGGTATTTGTGTCTATTTGTAGGTGTGTATATGTGTTTTTCTGTATATAAGTGTGTATATGTGGGTATGTGGGTATATTTGTATATGTGTATATCTTTGTTTCTGTATATTTGTGTGTTTCTGGATAAGTGTGTATATGGGTATGTGTGCATATGTGTATGTGCGTATATGTACATGGGTGTATATATGTGTGTATATATGGGTACGAGTGTTTATATTTACATGGGCTTGTTTGAGGATTTTCACAAAGGTGCTCATATATCTTGAACTATTATGTTTTTATCACTGTGTATATTTCTATGGGTGTAGTATATAGATAGCGTCGCCGGCTGGGCGTACTGCTCTGTCCTTGAAGTAGAGCAGAGGTAATCGACATAGCATATTTGTGTTTCTGTAGATATATGTGTGTGTTTATGGATAAGTGTGTATATGGGTATGTGTGGTTTATATTCTTCTATACGCATGATGTGGTTATCTGTGTACGCATTCGCTTTCAAAGGTCTCTCAAGTTGTTCCTGCAATTGGACATCACCAGAGTCTGCATCGTGTTTCGGGTTCAATAGCCGCACACTGATCTTGTCTGTCTTTCTACTATACATACACCGAGTCGCCTCGTGAATCCGGTTGAGAAGAGTGGATGTACGATCATACCTAAACCTGTCCTTATATGTGTATGTTGGTACCACGTTAACGGATTCCGCTCGTGGGAGGTGTATGCCCCACCGACCATTACCTCAGCACCACTTCTGTCTGTATCAACCAGTGCGGCTGACAAGCCCTTCCTGCAGTACACACCGGGGGATGTCTGTGCCGTGCTGCCCAGCAATCCACCGGAGCTTGTTGATTGGTTCTTAGGGTATCTAAATTTAGACGGCCAATCAGAATTCATCCTGACTGCGGGCGATCCCAAGGATGTGCATCTCAACTTTCCACCAGTGCACAGACTCCCCGATGGCGTCAACGTGCGTAACCTGTTGACTCATTATCTGGATCTACACGCAAGGCCGCGAGGGAGGTATGTTCGTGTTTTGTGTATGTGTACGTGTATGTGTATGTGTGTGTTTTTATGTATGTGTAGGTCTGTGTGTATGTCTGTGTGTATGTGTATGTGTATGTGTATGTGTATGTGTATTTGTATGTGTATGTGTATGTGTGTGTGTATGGGTACTTGTATGTGTACGTGTATGTGTATGCGTATTTGTGTGTGTATGTGTACGTGTATGTGTGTATGTTTGTGTATGTGTATGTGTATGTTACAGGCACAGCTTGGGCACAGGATGGATGTAGTTGAAGGTGCAACAAATGAGGTGCATAAAATTCAGCTGTAGTTACATTCTAGGGTATGTGTCCATGCGTCCAGGGCTTGTTGGTGCTAGTGCGCAACAGCGCAATGCAGCCGCTCCATGTGTTATGTATCGGTGTCGGCAGATCGAATCATAGCAAGTCATGTAGGGTTTAGGGTTAAGGGTTTAGAGTTTAGGGGTTTTAGCCAATCAGAGTGTGGTTGTCAGTATAATCGGTGCGAAAGGACGCGTGCAGTCAACCACGCACATAGTAAGACACTGTAGAGCTCAGTATATGGCATCGTATATGTATGTTCACAGGTCCTTTTATCGTATGTGTATGTTCACAGGTCCTTCTATCGTATGTGTATGTTTGCCGGTACCTCTATCGTATGTGTATGTTCACAGGTACTTCTATCGTATGTGTATGTTTGCAGGTACCTCTATCGTATGTGTATGTTCACAGGTACTTCTATCGTATGTGTATGTTCACAAGTCCTTCTATCGTATGTGTATGTTTGCAGGTACTTTTTCGAGCTTTTGGCCCATTTTGCACAGTCCGATCGGGAGGTGGAACGTTTGCGACAGTTGAGCATGCCTGAGAACTTGGACGAACTCTACGATTACTGCTACCGCGTGAAACGCACCCCCACAAGAAGTGTTCATTGTATGTTCTATATATATATATATATATATATGTATATATATATATATATATATATATGTGTGTGTGTGTGTGTGTGTGTGTGTGTGTGTGTGTGTGTGTGTGTGGTGTGTGGTGTG